GTTTTGACTTCCACATGCAAATCTTCATAGAATCGACCAAATACAACGATTTTTTGTCTCAAGTCATGACGAAATCGAGTCGTGGATGGTCGATTTGGTATGGAAGCATATGGAATCGTCTTATAATCGGCGGATTCACATCTGGGCTTCCGCGGTTTCTCAGTCTGATGCCACCGTGAATCTTGTCCTTTCTCTCCGTGGAGGTAAAGGAGGGTTCGGGTCATTACTTCGTGGTGCGGCGACCAAGTCTGGTCAGAATAAGACCAATAACTTCGATGCGTGTAGGGATATGAGTGGAAGGAGATTGAGGCATGTGAACGCAGAGAAGAGGCTTGAGGAGTGGAGGGAAGGTGAAGAGGAGAGGAAGCTGGAGAAAATAGCACATGAGTTTCTGAAGAAGCAAGCGAAGAAAGTGAAACAAGATCTTAGTTTTAGGCTTAGTACTTGTAATTGTAATGAAAGTACTAAGCCTTGAATCAATGTGAGTTTCTTCCCTNATCGTTTGGTTTTAATCCTTGGTTTTGTTTTGTAGTAATCGATCGTGTTTTTTTTTGTTTTAACTCTGTTTTGGGTTTTGGGTTTTGTAGATGTCAATGACGGAAGAAACAAAGACCAACCTTGAATCATCGGCGGGAGAAACGGAAACCGTAGCAGTAGTGGAAGTGGAGGTGATACGAAGAAAACTTGTGTTGATTGTGGTACAAGCAGGACTCCTCTTTGGCGTGGTGGACCTGCTGGTCTTAAAGTAAGTAAAAGCTTGTTTCTTTTTCTTCCTTTTGTTTTGAAAAAATCCAAGTTTTTGAAGGAAAGTGTAGATCTAGTTCAATAGGGTAGTGAAATAGTTCTCAAATGTTGGTTGATCTTGTGTTTATAGCTCTGTTTGGAACTAGCTTTAGTACATTTGGTGTGTGATCATCTAGTTTAGGTGAGGATTGTGTAGTGATCATAAAAAAAGAACATAGCTAATTGATCTTTGTGTTTTGTTTTGAGTAGTTTGATTCTGGTTCCTAGAGTCTTGCTTAGGCTTAGTACTTGTAATTAGTTTTAGATCAAGATATTGTTATTGTTTGTAACTTAGAGATAAATAGAGTGTGATCTTCAATGTTCTCTACTTGATGATGATTGATCTTCATCTTCAATGTTTGTTATGTGGTCTAATCAATGA